GATCTTTTAAGGCTTTTACCATTTCAGAACTTTATTGTGAATTTATGCTTCTTCACACACAATTATTTGTTTATTTCTTTTAAGCATTCATTTTTCTTTTCGATTGCAAAACTGACTTGTCTCCTTTTTTCTTTTCTTTACTGCTTTCCTTTACTACTGCCTTAAATCATGAAGACTGTTGTATTTACTGCTTTCTTTAACGTGCAAATATCTGACAACATGCCTTTAATTGTTGCATAATCATGCTCGACATCATATTCCACTCTTACCAAACAAATACCATAGCAACGCTTATAATGAGTTATTGCGCTCTTCCTATATTATCACCCCTAAATTCGGAAACGACATATTTGCGGTAAAACCAGTCGATCAACGGTGTAGTCGACGGTTTCATACCTTTCCCCCATGAGTTGTCCGCTCAAGGGTACCAGTGTAAAACCCCATAGAAACCTCACTCTATTTAAACTGTGCATGCATCATGGTCAAACCTAGCCGAGTCAGTTATGTTGTCCACATAATGACTTTTTAAGATAGCCTTATCCAAAAGTCCACGGGGTTCCCCTGAAACCCAAACGGACATTATCACGTTCTATGCATTTATTTGGAGAACTAAATGCTTTTATGACAATTATTGATGTTAAAATAGTCAAGTCCGGTGGGGGAAATGGCCTAACTGTATTTTCTTGCAGATAATGAGGCACGAAATCTCCAGATTCGGCATGGTTACCAACATCCACCCGAGACTGGTAAACTGGTGGAAAGATCTTCATTCTAGTTATCAGACTCTTGTCTGAAAATATCTAGGGAATCTACCCTCCCTCCTGGAAATCCAACCCAACAACAAGATCATTGAAGCCGCTACTCTCTTTTGGGATTGTCAGAGGCCCGTCTTCCGCTTCGGGGAGATTGAAATGATGCCTTTACTAGAAGAAATAGGAGGATTAGCCGGTTTAGTATGGGAGACTCCAGGTTTATTGATTCCTGAGAACCGAAAAGGTAGGGGTTTCCTCAAAATGATGGGTCTAAAGAAGAATCCAGAACTGACATGGCTCAAAAAATCCTATATCCCTTTCGATTATTTGTACGATAGGTACGGTCACAGCAAATCCTACCGTACCTATCCTGATGAGTTTGCCATTACCTCATTGGGTCTTATTCATCGAATGGTTTTTGTATTCATGTTCTATTTTCTGGGGATGATTGTGTTTCCAATGAAGAAGACAAGAATCTACACCCGACTAGCCATGGTCACTAAACTTCAATGGAAGGAATTGGAGGGCAACCATTCAGCATTTTTTTAAAGAAAATATACCACTAGGCAAGCTGCCTAGTGGTTAATATATATATATATAAAATCCCAAAATAGGGTCCAAAACATAATCCAAAATGTACTAATCTACTAGCTATTATAAAGTCTAAGAAGTTATAAATAACAAGACTAGCTATTACAAAGTGACTAGCTGAATGTTTCAATCTCCTGTCAGTGTAAGTGAATCCAATAGCCAAAGGCAAATACCAAGCAGCACCTCTAATGCTCTCACCAGGCGCCAGGGTATGCATTCCAAAGCAAGCATGGACGCCAAACAGCTACACCAATCGATTGAATTCAGCAAAACTTCTCCATTTATCATGCAATTCCAATGAGTTTCATTCCAGCAAGTATTTTCCATTTGCTTCCTCATCAATGTGATTGTACCATAACAAACATAGGCTAACTACTACTGCCAGAACTACTGATGCCTGACTTCTTCTGAACCTTGCCATCACACTCCCAGAATGAGCATGAAACCATGCCGATACCACTAGGAAGTGTAATACCAATCTCCAGAATCTTACCAACATATTTTGAGGTAGTTCTTTCACATTTGGACTTCTCATTTCTATGTAATGCTGCACCATCCACAATCTGCTTCTCCTACAACTCTCATGCACTATCAAGGTACCTTTAGAATGAGCATGTAACCATGCTAATACCACCGAAATGTACCCTAACAACACACTGTATAGAAGATAAACAGATATGTGCAGGATCAAACCATTTGGAACCATTAGTCTGGTGCTCTCCTCTTAGCTATTCTGATCCTAAGATTAGGAGTTTGATTTTTATCAAGATTGATTAACCTCCTCCCTGCACTAGGCAGTTCAGAGAATGAATGAAATTCTGATGTACCTGCAAAAGAAAAAACAATGTTAGCTATAAAGTCTGCCACATCATTTCCTTCTCTAAACACATGCTGAATGATCATATTGAAATTCTCCATTATCTCCTTAATCCTCCTCACTTCCTGACTAATTGTCCATGGAGTATCCCATTCTTTTTCAATCACCTTCTTCATTACTAATGAATCTGTCTCCAAGATGAGAGGATGTAGGTTATGTTCTACACAGTACTCCAGCCCTTGAACAATAGCCCTTGCCTCAGCTACTACATTTGTTGTCTCCCCCAAGTCGACTGCCCTTGCATAAATTAGGTCCCCTTCATCATTTCTCACACAAAAACCAAGTGAGCTAGGACCTGGATTACCCCTTGATACACCATCTGTATTGCATTTATACCATTCTTGGAAAGGGAGCTGCCAAGTAATTCTTCTTGTAATTATAACAGGTTTGTATCCTTCAAAATACTAGATCATATCTGGCCATAACAAAGGAATATTACGTAGCCAACCACACCTCACCTTTGCCAAATAATGTAATGTTCTATTAACTTCATGGATCACCCTATGTGTAGTAACTGAACCTCCATATTTTCCTGCATTTCTCTTCTTCCATAATTCCCAAGTAATAATAGTTGGAACTGCTTGAAATAGTGGCTTTAGTTTTGGACAACATTGTGCATTCCACCAGTGTCTGATGACTTGATTCAGTTGCACCAATGGTACTATGATTCCTGTAGCTCCCATGAACAAATTCCACACTTTTGTAGCAGTAGCACTTGTGAGGAAAATATGTTGTATAGTTTCTTCTTGTGGTTGTTGACAACACCAGCATCTAGAAATTACCATCTGTCCTTGTCTCCTCCAATCATCATCAGTAGCTATTTTCCCCCTCCATAGTCTCCATAAAAAGAAGGATATCTTGAAAGGAAGACCTTTTATCCACATATGCTTGGATTCCTGATTAGGATCAGCTCTATGTCTTATAATTTGCCAAGCACTAGTTACACTAAACTTACCTGAGGCAGTTGGCATCCAGTATGGCTTGTCCCACGTTCCTCATTGCCCTCATAATGTATATTTGACCTGACATGCTCAGCAATCTCCTCAGTAAAGTTTTGTTGCAGTATCTCTTCATTCCATGTTCCTTCCAGTCTTAATTCTGCTACATCTTGTAACTCTTCATTGATAGGAAACTCTTTAGGAAGTACATGATATAGAGCTCCCAAACCTGTCCAATTCTCATGCCATATGTTTGTTGTTCCACTATTCAACTCCTATAGAATCTCATGCTCTACTTCTTCCCTGGCATTTATCAGTTGCTTCCAAACATGTGATCCTCTTCTAAACTGAACTATTGTTGGCAGCTCCTTCTTACAATATTTGTTCCACATGAAGTTGGACCACAAAGACTTTGTGGTTCTAAACTTCCACCAAAGCTTAGCAAACAAAGCCTTTGATACATCACTTCGAGATCTGAACCCCAATCCCCCTTCTTCCTTAGGTAAACATAAATTTAGCCATGAAGACCAGTGCCTGCTTCTTCCCTCCTCCTTTGTACTCCAGAAAAATCTTGCAAACAATTTATGCAGATGTACTAAAATGTTCTTTGGAGGGTCCAGTACTGAGAGCATATGAACTGGCATGCTTTGCAACACACTAGATATGAGTGTTGCTTTCCCCCAAGTGATAATAGCTTACCTTTCCATGAATGTAGCTTAGCTTTCACCTTCTTGATAAGCTCATCATAATACTCCTTCCTCCTAATAGTATAGAAAATAGGGCATCCAAGGTATGTGAATGGGAATTTACCTATTGTGAAACCAGTTCCCCCACTGCTTTGACTAGACCATGTGCCACCTTACCATGCATGTAGTAGGAACTCTTTGCTTTGTTTATCATCTGACCTGACACTTTCTCATAATCACCCAACACTTTCATTATTTTGCTCAAAGATGAAGGATGAGAAGATGCAAATATAATGGTATCATCAGCATAAGCTAGATGATTCAAAGGATCAGACCATTTAGGCATCCCAAACCCCACAAAGGATCTATCATCAAACAGTTTGTTTAACGATCTTGATAACACCTCAGCTGATAATATGAAAAATGCTGGGGATAGGGGATCACCTTGCTTTACCCCTCTAGTTGACTTGAAAAATCCTGAAGCCTGTCCATTCACCAATACAGAATACCAATTGTTTGACAGCAAATTCCAAACTATGTTAATGAAATGTTCTGAAAAACCCATCTTTCTCAACACATGTAACAAATATTTCCATGAAACTCTGTCATAATCCTTAGTCATATCCAGCTTAATAACAACATTAGCTGGCTTGCCTCTTAGACTTATATCTGTCACTATTTCTTGTGTCAGTAGTATGTTCTCAAAGATACTCCTGTCTTTCACAAATCCTGATTGATTAGGTGATATCAGTAATGGAAAAAACTTCTCCAATCTGTTATGAAGTACCCTTGACAACACCTTGTTAGTAAAATTACTCAAACTGATAGGCCTTAGGTCAGAAAAAGTCTCCACTCTAAGCTTCTTTGGTAATAGGACTAGGTTAGTGTGTGTTATGGATTTTGGCAGTGTTGCTCCCCCATAAAAGTGCATTACCATATTATGTATATCTCTACCAACTATGTCCCAGCAAGTTTGATAAAACAAACCAGTAAATCCATCAGGACCATTAGCACTTTCACCACTGAGTTCAAATACTGCTCCCTTCACTTCTTCAAATGTTGGCATCCTACTTAACTCCATATTTTGCTCCAATGTAACCATGGATGGTACATGATCTAATAATGAGAAATCATAAGAGTCCCCTTCATTAGAGAACTATCTTTTATAGAACTCCACTGCAGCATCAGCCATTTGCTCTTGATTTTCAATCCACACCCCACTAGAATTCTGGATCCTTTTTAACTGTAGCTTCTTTCTTTTTCCATTCACATGATTATGAAAAAAGCTAGTGTTCCTGTCCCCCTCACCAAACCAATTCAGACCAGCCTTTTGTTTCCAATATTGCTCCTCTATGCTCAGATATTTCTTCAACTCTGATTGAGCCTTTTGCAGTACAATTCTATTTTCAATAGTTGGTTACTCTTCAAACAACATCTCCTTTACCTTAACTATATCTTCAATTATAGCCAATTGCTTGAATATATCTCCAAAAGTGTCCCTACTCCATTTTGATAAAGTTGCTTTTACTTTCTTGAGTTTCTTCTTGAACATAATAAAAGGATCACCTATAAAGTCAGCTTCCCAACTCTGCTTCACCACCTCCTTGAACTTAGCATGTTTGATCCAGAAGTTTAAAAATCTGAATGTCTTGACACAAGTGACATTCTGCTCACCACAAGTCATCAGCAAAGGAGCATGATCTGATCCAGTTCTAATAAGATGTTCCACTTCATATTCTGAAAAGGCAAGTTCACAAATATTCTATCCAGCCTCTTGAATATACATTGAGTATTAGGTCTCCTATTCCACCATGTAAATGGACTCCCTTTGTACCCTTGTTCAAACAAATCACAAGAATTTACACAAAAAGCAAAGTCCTCATATTCAGGAGGGTGTACAGGCAAACCCCCCTATCTTCTCATCTTCATGCAACACTACATTAAAATCTCCTCCTACTAACCATGGCAGCTTCATATAACTTGCTAGATAATACAAATGATCCCATAATTCTAGCCTCTCTATTGCTGAACACTTGGCATAGACAAATGTCATCATCATGTGCTGTCCCAAGTCATGGTGAAGTGCTTTCACTGTTACTTGTTGTTCAGTATCCTCCACTAGTTCCCATTCAACTACTGAATCAAAAAATAACCATATTTGCCCATTAATATTTGCATAAGCAGTCTCCATATTCAGCCTTCTTCTATATCTCTGAATAACTCCTTTCTTTTGAAAAGGTTCCATCAATGCAACTACACAAAAATTGTGCTCCCTATTCATATTGATCACTCTAGGAAAGGCCTGTTGAGTTTTCACAGACCTTATGTTCCAAATAAGTGTCTTAATCATCATTTAGTTAATGAGGCTGCCCTCCTGGGCATAATTCTTGTAGGTTGAGCAGATTCTTTATTATGATTCTTCTTTGTCTTCTTGCCTCCCTTAGCACTGGCTATAGGTGATAGGTCCCCTTCCCTAGCTACTTGCTTGAAATTTTCAACAGTAGATTTATCTTCTCCTTCATCATCCATTGTAGTTTGGTCTAGTATTTCTTCATCAAGTGGTACTACATTATGTGTAACAAGATCATGCAGCTGCTGAAGTGGAGTTCTCAATGGAACATTGAGGTGCAATTGCATGATTTTATCAGTTCCAATCTCCATTGGTACCTCCTGTATATCCCCAGCCTTTCTCGGTACAATTGCTTGCTCTACCTGTACATTACTCACTTCATTCTCCTTGGCCTGTTCTATGGTAGTTATAGCAGCCTGCATCAATTTGAATTGCATCTCATAGACATTGCCAAGGCCAAGATTTACTGTAGATGCCTGCATGGGAGTTACTGTTCCATTGGATTCACCCATTCTTCTTTGTCCTGTCAGCTGCTCTAACCTCATTGTCCCATCTCTAACCTTCATAGGAGCCTCTTCCTCAGGTCCCTTCATCAATGCATTACTAGGACCTCCATCTACATATGCTAACATACTCCCAGTTTTATCATGAGTTACTGTTCCATTGTCCTCCATCTGGCACTGATCTGTTTGATCAGTCCTATATAGTTTTCCAGTTTCCTTAGCTGCTCCTTTACCCTCTCCACTTTGTTTCCCCTCTTGATCCATCACATAATTCAAATTATCCTCAGCATTGTCTCCTATCCCTTGTTCCTCCCTTTGCTGATTTTCTAATAACTCAACTTCCTCACTCCATAGGGTCTTATCTGAATTAATCTTCTTGGACTCCTTTATATGTCCGGAATTTTCATAAGTTTGGGAAGGAGTATGTTGCCATAACTTGTTGGTAGCCACATTGCTCTGCCTTAATTCCTCTTTATTTGTCCCAAATCTCCTATGCACCGAATCTATGGTATTTTCTTTTGTAGTTTCAATATCTGTCCTTGTATCAACAGGACTAAGAGTTGCCTCCCTTCTCTTATTTGCATTCTCCACTGCTTCCTTATTCACTTTTCTCACATCAATTTCCTGCCTGGTCCTTGCTAGTTCCTTTGAATGCTTGTTCTTTCTTTTCATTCTTGTCCTTACCATCTACTTTGCCATCCGTAATTATCAATATTGGTTGAGCATCTTCCTCCACTTCCAATGCTTCAAATTTGTTTTTGGACTCTACTGCCTCCTCCTTAAGCTTACCTTTGCCCTTGTTGTCCTCTTTTACTTCATTAATAATGTAACCTCTCTTATCTCTTTGATATTTATTCTTCCTAGCTTGCATTCATTCCTGTTTAGCATTGTTATTAGCAGGCTTTCCAACCACTTTTCCACTTGCTAGCACCTTAGTTGACTGTGCAGCTGTGCCTATAACATCAGAACTCACCACCATTGTCCTCTCCTTGCCTTGATCCTTGCTTTCATCACTGAAACTTTTATGCAATTCTGGGTGAATTACCTAGCATTCCATCTCACTATGTCCTTGTTTCTTGCACGTCTTTCAATACTTAGGCATGTAGTCATACCTTATCTTGATCCACTTCGATTCCTCAGGTCCAGTTTCATCTGCTTTTTCAATAATCTTTATCCGTTGGGGCAATGTTGCAAGTAGATTAACCTCCACCTTAACCTTAGCACAACTAGGTCGTGTGCCATTTTGAGTAGCCAAATCAACGTGCAATGGTCTACCTACTGCATTAGCCAATGAAAAGACAAAGTCCTTACCAAAAAAGTTAGGAGGTAGATCCTGAAACGATATCTAAGCGATGGCAATTGGTGTCTCAACATCAGGAGACCACCAAGGACTCCACTTTGTACATCTTATCTGACAGAATTCGCCTTGTGCTTTCAAATAAAAAGCTGGCTTCGATAACAAGTGAATATAATCCTCTATCAGCGATAACTAAATCAGAACATGCGTATCTTCAATCAAGCCAACGTAACATGATCCTTTAAGCTCACACTGAATTGGTATTGCCTTCCTCAATTCTTGGATCACAGGTTTGCCATATGAGAACTTCCCCAGGACAGCCAGGTGCAATCCTTGTTGGATTATTGATTGTTTCACTTCAGTTTTCTTCCATCTCACCATTGGTTCTCTATGCAAAAACTCGACTGGTTTTAAGTTTACATTGTTCAGGTGCATGGGAGCATTTAATGCTTGTGGTTGGAACAGTTTTGCGTAATTTTGGTTTGGATTTGGGTTAACAGTTGTTTGAGGGATTGGCTTAGGATCAGGGGTCGACTGCCCAACCTCCAATGGAGGCTGGGCAGTGTCCGGCACAGCCATGGACGCTAGGTTTAGGCTTCAAGTTTTAGGGTTTTAGGAGAGAGAAGAGAGCATTGCGATTTTTTTTAATTTTTCACAACCATTCAGCATTGTGCCCATGATTATCACAGAAATATACCGGGCCCTAGAGAAATGTCAATGAGGAGCTAGTCACTTCGAGGGTTGCAATTTGCTACTTCAGCTGCGGCTCATGGAGCATCTACAAAAGGGTGAATACCGACAAGAGATTCAACGAAGGGACTGGGACGATCATATCGCTTTCCATCACCCAAAGCGAATGAATTATATCCCCGATATGTTTGCTAAGCTAGAGGATGCCAAAGGATGGTTCAATCTATTTGATAATCTGACCGAGGAGCAAGTACAATGGATGTTCGAATGGTTTCCAACTGAAGAATTCATCGCCCGATCCCGAGACGCACCTTTTCTGATATTAATCGGTCTGAGAGGAACGTACCCTTACATCCCTCTCCGAGTTATGAGGCAAGCTGGTAGGAAGCAGGTTGTACCCAGGGTCGACAAGATGAGTCATTTCCGGGCTGAATTCCAGGCTGACGATAGTCCTTACAAGTGCCAAGCTCAGCATATGTGGCACTGCAAGATCGTCATGGGAAGGGATACCATCGAACCAGATCGATACCACACCGGTTGTACTCCTTACTATTCCGGTTGGTTGGAGGATAATCATGATGGACTGGGTGAACCTGGGTTCGTTCGAGGTCACAGGATCATAGATAAAAAGGCCGAGGCACAAGTTAAATACAATCAGCTACGCAATAGAATCCGGGAAGGCGAAAGTGAGCACCGTGAAATACAAGAAGCCAATCAAAAGTTAATTGAGGAATGGAAGGACATGGCCATCAATGCCAACAAGCGACTGGGATACCTGGAGCGAGGCATACTGGAACTGGAAAGAAGGTTTCTCAAAAGGGTCGAAGACTGTCAGAAGCTGAGGGAAACGAAGGCGAACATCTGGCCAGAGCCTACCTATTGCTGGGACTTCGCGAGCTGGGGAAGTTATTTGACGAAGCCAGGGATGCCGAGTCTGGGGAGGGTCCTTCAGGGACCAAGTAGATAGGACTTTATCTTTTCGCTATTTAAATTGTAATAAGGCCAATGGCCATTAGTGACTTTATTTTACCTGTTATTTAGTGTCGATTTGGGATTCGTCTTATTTTCTATCAATAAAATGAGGCATTTAGCATTCCAAGTTCTCCAAATCAACTTGTCGCTAGGCCTACCTCGGGCACAAAGAGGTCCCCAAATTAGGACGCGATTTACATTCCCGCATTATGTGTTTAAATATTGCATCAATTTTTCACGAACCTCACTAACTTGGTTACCTTTTTGTTTTATTTTTGTTTTGATTATTCCCCTCCCCAAAGGTTAGTTCGAGCACTCTGGCAATATCATCCTATTCCACAAGATCCAAGGGCCCTCCACCCACTCCTCCCCTCAGTCCCGTCAAAAACAAGAACAAAGGAAAGATGGAAGATTTGAACAACACCAGGAAGGAAAACTCAACTGAACGGGTAGAGGTCACTCATGGTCATGGTACTTTGGTTCCCAAGGAGAATGCCTCCCAACTAGAGCAAAAGCTGCTGAAATTTTAGGAAGAACTTGATCAAGTCCGGAATTTGGCGAATCTGTCATTTTCCCTCACTACTCCAGATATCAACTTCCCAAATACTCAGAACCCCACACCTCCACAAAGTCTCCCAAAGCAACAGAACCACACCGCTCCTCACCACCACTGCAACACCTGCCATACTTCCAACAATACCCCGCTGCTCATCCCAGAACCACAAAACTCCACAAATGATCACTGCCACACCCACCATAA